CACACACACACACACAGTACACCTCATAATAAAAACAAATTAATCAAATTAATGTCAGGGGACTGTGAACTGTATTTCACAATTGTACAACCTGTTAATACTGAGGTTACACAGTCAAATAGAAGCAGACATGCCTGTGCTGTGCCTATACCTTCCATATTGTGGTTCTTCTGGGTGTTCGTGAGGCAGACAAGAGGCAATCAACACAGTGAACCACTTGTTTTTAGATGCAGAGGCACTGATTGACTGTCTGGCCTGCTCACTTCACAATAGACAGGCACATAGACAATAAAACTGGATAGTTAGCAGTGACTCAGTCACACATACTGTACACTCACTGTTTAGTCCTGGGTTACCTCATAATCCATCTATTCCCAAAATTTTAAATTGAAAGGGATGTAGACAAAGCACCTCCTATATTAATTCTGGTCTAGAAATATAAAATGAATGTTTATTTGCCTAGACAAAGTGGAAACAATGATGATGAGACAGTGATACACTGTTGATTTTCTCCTTTACCACAGAAAACTGGTGGCAGAAAAATGTCTCAATCTGTCACATGAACTAGATGCCTGGCAATATTCATAAACAACAGTGTTTTATTTTGCTCTTGACTTTAAAGAAAACTATTTAAAATCACAACATGACATCCTGATGGCCTAGATGTAAAAATCCTGTAGCTGTATCCACAATTTCACAAATGTTTGTGAATACAGCAACCTATCTTTTTGGGTGTTTGCAGGTTGCATCAAGTCAAATTTAACTATTTTTAAAGCTCTCTTAGGACCACTGTGACTGAAACATACACGTTTTCAGGACATGGCATCAAGCATTACCCATAGCTCAACCAATAAAACCAAAAAGTAACAGTTTTAAAAGCCATCACTCACTCCAACTGAAGCCTTTACTCAGGCCCTGACACTAAATAATGAGTTGAGATAGCTTTGTCTAGAATATGCAGCTGCTATGCATCCTCACAGCTTTAGCAGGAGCTTTTCAGGTCTTTATAAATGCTTGATGAGCCTTTTCAAATTGTGCACACCCAGCACAAAGCTGCTGCCTCTGTCCTCAGATTGGGTAAGGCCACGTGGCGAGGAAGCATAAGTCCAAGGCCACTGTCAATTTACCAGGTGATGAAAGAAACTGAAGATGACGGCCATTATTGTTATCTTTTAATCTGGAGACATCCTGTGCATTCACTGTGGAATGACTTTCAAATAGAATCTCTCTGATGTTGAAGCCACTAGTGGACTGGTTTTGTCTGCATTAAAGCAAGAAGAAATCCCCCACTCGTTTCATGAAGATGCTCCTTGATTTGCCTTCCTTAATATAAAATTTAAAAATGTATATTTTTAAATGTAATGTTCTTTAGTATACTTTGCACTTTGGTTTTCAACCATCACATCTTATTTAACAGTGGTGTACTGAATCAGTCAAGCTCTTCTTATCTCTCTGTGTTATGCAGATATAGGATGGTTTCAGTTGTAAATTATTTAGCAGAGACTGTATAAGTATCTCCACTTATATGAACAGCCTGTGTAAATAAATATAAAATAGGAACAGACAGAATATGTTTGCTTGCTCCCATGACTTTAAGAAAAGGTGACAAAAACACAATAAGCAATGTTATGAAAGCAAAGAAAAAAGAGAATCTGCAGCTTCAGGCCTATTTTTTACATTTACAGCTTCTATCCATCCATCAGTTATACCTGCTTGTCCTTGAGGGTCGCAGGGGTGATGGAGCCTATCCCACCTGACACTGAGCAAGAGGCAGGGGTATGACCTGGACAGACCTCCAGCCTATCACAGGGCTAACACACAGAGACAAACAGCCATTCATGCTCACATTCACACCTATGGCCAATTTAGAACCTTTGGACATGAAGGGAACCAAAATACCCAGAAGAAAACCATGCAGGCAACACACAAACTAAAAAAAAGGCAGCAACTGGCCAGCAAATAAGAAACCATAATCTTTCTTTTTGTGAGGCAACAAAAGTGACTGCACAGCTCTCAACAAAGGAAAAAAAATCCTCATGAAATGAATTGTGTGCACTCACTGCGGTGGCATCTACACTTGGAAGTGTATTCATTTCTGTACACAATGAGGCTCTGACCTCCAGCTCCACGGCCCTGAGCACCTTCAGTTTTCAACACTGGGGGAGGAAAGGGGTGTTGTAGAAAAAGCCCTCTGAAAGGCTCTGACAGTGCCAGATGAAAGCTGTCAGCTCTGGCCTCGGCAGCTGACTTGTGACTTTGAGTGAATCGCCAGCTAGACACAGAGATGATCTTTCCCTCCCACTCTGTTAATACATTTAGTGCTTCAAGGTCAAAAAAGTAGACTGTTGACAGTGGCAAAGAAGAGAGAGTATAATGAGTCTCCAATGTTGGATGGTGCTTTCACAATTTTAAAACGTAGGTGGAACTAATTAACCTTTGTATTACCCACAAAGGACATGAAATAAAAAGTATAGTGATACTGTATATTTCATAATTTTAATATTTCAGTCAATGGGATAAACTACATTTGAATTCACCTGGCTGCTGTGAAGTAACACTGCACGTACTGTGAACATTCGTGCACACACAACAGCTGGATGAATACAAAAATGAGCACTGTTATATAAACCAGTATTATCATGAAATGTGGAGTTTGAATTGTTGTCAACCTAATCTGCAACACCTGCACTACCAAGCCAGTGGTCAGGTGCAAATGCCAGTCCTGTTTATATTAGTGGGCTGAAACTGGGTCATACTGAATTTGGTTGGTGTAGTTCATGTTACTGCTGTTTTGCTTTCAACCCTCAAGCATAGCTGCCATAATTGACAAGATCCACTCTACTTGGGCTTTCCACCTTACAGTACCTAGTCACACTTAAACTGAACAGAATAAGTGTCTTAATCAAGACACTTGTATACTTATATACACTGACATCACAAGAGACTTGGCTGATAAGTTACTCTATCCTGACTGATGATTGTTGTTGCAAATGATCAGTGTGAATTTCTGCAGAGGGACAAACCTTGAAAAAAAAAAAAAAAAAAAAACTGAAATCGTTCCTTATGATATTATAATGTCATAGAAAACACGAATACAATCTTTCACACAAATGCAAATAAACACACTGAGATGGTGCGTGTTGATAAACCTCAATTTCAGACTCAATACCTGGACATATGATTTTTTGTGATTACTTGTGTGTGTGTGTGTGTGTGTGTGTGTGTGTGTGTGTGTGTGTGTGTGTGTGTGTGTGTGTAAACACACACACACACACACACACACACACACACACACACACACACACGATTTTTTTTTCTGCCTCTGAATGTTCAGTCTCATTTTTCTCTGATATTGAAAGGCAGTAAAGGTGCCTTACAGCGCTGTGAATGAGAAGTCACATTTTTCAAGATTTGGAAGACATATTATGTTGCGTTATAGCACGCATGTGTGTGCCTATGTGTCTGTCTGTGTGCATGTATTTGAGTGAAGGTAGAGAAAGACTGGATGTTCAAGGACTTAGAAAATGTATCAATATTACATATGATTATGTACTTTGCTATAATTGCCAAATATTGCATAACATTAACTTAACTAACAGTAAGAGGGGTAGAAACCAAACAACTAAGGAGAGAGAGCAGGAAAAAAAAAAAAGATGTTCATACCTTCATCAGCCTCCTCATCCTCAAAGGGCGAGGCCACTTGACCTCTCCTTTCATTGTTTCTCTCTGCCTCCCTCTGAAGACTCACCACCTCATACACAGCGTCGCTCTGGCCCACCCTCTCTGGTGCCTGCTGTACACACACACACACACACACACACATATATGTGATCAGACCTGACACTGCTGTCACATTTGTCTACACTTGTCTTTTCAATAAATAAATTCAATTATGTAGGAACTAATCAACAAGTTAACGTGTATTGTTAAGAGTCAAACATCTAGAAATTAAATAAAGATAAATACAGTTATTTCACTCTAATGAATAGACTACTGAACCTGCACCTGACAGGTAGAGACATCTAGAATGGCTGTAAATTCCCATGTTGATCTATTTCCTTTGGGAAGGTACTGTTATACAGGTCTAAAAAGTATACATGTGATTAATCAAACAAATAATGGAGTGTAAAAACTGCCTCACACAATTTTAACTGCTCTTTAAATCAAAACAGACTACAGGCACCAGCCGACTTGACCATGGGTGTCATAAGTTTCTGCTGTTTATTTCTAGTCTATACAATTACTTCAGTGCTGTTGTCTCTCTACCTGGTAGAATGGATCAATGGGCTGCATTGATCTGCCCACTCGTATGGCATCTAATGACTAACTCTAGTCAGTGATGAGAGCACAAATTGAGAGCAAATATCAAGCTTGTCCTATTTTTAGAGGAAATCCAAGGAGGCTTAGGTAACACGTTTGCTTTGCTATGGCCTCTGCCAGTGAACTGTTAACCTCTCTGAGATGAATTATTAACACTGATACAATTAAGACAGAAATGTGGGCCAAAAAGGGCCGACTGCACAGACACAATATCACAGACTATGGTTTTATAATGTGACGTTAAAACTCTCTCTGCTAAATGTTTTTATGAGATGTACCTCACAAAATAAGGGAACTGCCTTAACAGTGTATATGGGTCTTTGTAACATCACAAAGTGTTTTTCTCTTACAAAGCAGCTGTCTTCTTGAAGGTGGCATTTCTCTCCCAAACTACTGGTATTACTCTGCATCAGCTCCTGATTTTTGGCTCAAAGTTTTAGTTGCTCACCATAAAAGTATGAAAATTGGCAATTAATAGTTTGCTTTTATCCTGTTACAAAAGATTTAAAGGAGTTCACTTGCAGAAACGTGCAGTATGTAACATATTTTGCATTGATTAGCTGAATATTGAAAAACTTAGCTCCTGATCTTATGTTAAGTTTACATCATTTAGAATCTTTTTAGGAATGACGTGCACTGCCTTTTCTCCTGTCCCAGTTTTGGCTGAACTTGACAGGATTTGACACAGATTACCTAGCCTGGAGTTGTGGTAGGTTTGTTTTTCAGTAGACATGTGATCCACTTTCCAGTATTGAAGACAAAGAAAACATTCTGAGAAGTTGGCACAAGTAATGACTCCCTGGTACTTCAGCTGGTTAATGACAGCTTTTGGCAAAATAATACAGTAGGACTACACATTTTATATGTGTATCACCACTGATGGCCATCTTCCACAAAATCCTCCACACAATATTATCTTTTAATTAGCTCTTAACCACAGCACCAGTCCAACACACTTCCATTTACTGAGGCGATAACTAGGGAGGCAATCAGGCGGACGACTCAGACCGCCACTGTTAATTACCCACACAGCAATAACAAGACAGAACCTCTTATTAGCTCCGTACAATGCAAAGCTTCACCACACTTCACTGCTTTGCCAGCTCCCCACAGGCCACTGAAGGATCTGCTTTTTAACATGGGAGAGGAAGCTTATGGTGTGACTGTATTTCATCAAGTGCATGCAGGAGCTGCTGAGGCTGGGTGTCCTTGTGCATTCTTCAGTCTCTCTCAGCACAATTTAATCAGGCAAATTCTGAGAAAACTCAAAAGGATAAACATTTCAGAGTATGTGATGTTAATGGTAAGATACAGGAAGAAAACAGCTTATTTGGTACTCTCAACAAAACCCATCAAATCAGTAGACTGTGGTCACCATTATTTGGCAGTCAGACATCAGCTCATGAGGTAAATGTGAGAAATCAAACATTGATCTATGCAAAGCCATAAATTAACCTGAAAAAAAATGAAGCCACAAACCACAAATTATCCAAACAACTAGGTACCAACTGACTAAACTACTAACCAACTAATCACAAGCAGGAGTCAAGTGTGAAGTCTTTAATTTAGAGTCTGAGTCAGTACTCAGGTCTGTTTCCAATGTAATGTCTATTCTAAGAGCATTTTCTCCATCTGAATTATATCTACTGGATGTGCTTAAAAGGGTCTATAGTGGGTTGATACTGTGTCCATGTGAGCTGCCACAGACCATCTAATTTTCCCTTGTTAAATTATGTGAATCTGCAGATACAGTGCCTTGCGAAAGTATTCGGCCCCCTTGAACTTTCCGACCTTTTGCCACATTTCAGGCTTCAAACATAAAGATATAAAACTGTAATTTTTTGTGAAGAATCAACAACAAGTGGGACACAATCATGAAGTGGAACGAAATTTATTGGATATTTCAAACTTTTTTAACAAATAAAAAACTGAAAAATTGGGCGTGCAAAATTATTCAGCCCC